CAACAACAAAGATTAGTGCCATGTTGACAATAAATGTTCTGATAGTAGTTAGAGAAAGGCTGAATGATAAATACATGTTTTGCTGATAAAATAATTCATGTGTCTGTTCTGTTCAAGACAGTCTCATTCTTAATTTTGCAAGCTACAAAGAGGCCAATTTGGCAATTAAGGGATGCCCTATTCGCTCTGAGGGCAGTCGATAGATTTGTCCAGGGGACTGACGTCATCGCTAGGCCTAAGCCCGCCGTGTTCTGTTTGGCCTCGTACGTAGTACGAAGTTCCGCGACGTGACGGCTTGACAGGAGACGATTTAAAGTTACAAGCGGGCGCGATAACAAACGTGAAGGAATGGGGCTCTATCGCTACAAAACAGCAGTGAATCCCACTTCTCCATTTGAAAGCTTTCAAATCGACAGGGTGCTTTTTGAATGTTGATACATGTTTGTTTTGGATTTACTTAAAACTGAATGAAAATCAGCAGCAGCAATGAATCTATTGTCAACAGTCCAGCTGACAAAATTTGACCGACACCGCCGGTCTTGCCCAGTTAACAATCCGCCCCTGGCCATGGGTGCCTGGCATGGACACGAGAAGCGAACCTGGCTCTATGGAAACGGTTCCTCACCATTTCCTCGACACATGGACATTGGCTGTCACTCATAGTTCACCCTTGATGCGGTTTGCATTGGTGGTTCGTGACGTCATGGCCTGTTTGAAGATGAACCGGTCGATCCTTCCGTAGGTCAAACGGGCCACCCTGGTCGAGGTCTGTCCTGGACCCTTCCGGTCGCCTCCCATCGTTCTTGTCGACGTGCAACGACTCGGAACGTGGAGCCATCTTGGAGCCAGGCACGGCCTCGTCGTGTCAACATCAGGCAGCGAGCGTCGTTGGACCAACGTGTTGTAATGAAACACGGCTGAAAAACCCTGGCTTATAAAGGCCTGAAAGTGAGCGATATTCACAGCCAAGACATCTGTTTAGCAAGTGCCAAGCTCGGTTTTAGCAACCAGTCCCTATGCCAATGATGCTGAGTCACACACATTTAGCCCATTTATCATGCTTTTCGGCTCTTTTTCGGCATTCCCTGCGCCATCCCTGCGAAGCTCGTGCGGGCAAATTTGCTGTACAGGCAAACTGTGTCCAGTTGTCAGTGCTTGTGCCAGGTTTGCTGGACTGAACTTTACGAGGTTGCAAGATATTGAAGTTTAAACATGAGATTGACAGGTGAAAACACAAGGTGTTCCTTAACCTTTTTAGCGCGAGTTTATATTTGTTTTTTTTTGTTTGTTGTTTTTTATTTGTTTTGTTTTAATTTAATTTAGCCTTTGATCTAACATGGACAGTATTTCCAAGTGAAACGACATCCTTTACTCTCAAAATCACCCTCTTCTCTATCCATGACAGATTTTGTGATTTGCATTTATTTTGAAAGCACTGTGCTAATTTTCGGCAAGAACGAAAGGAAAATGGTCAACATGTTATCACAAGCGTCTGGGCTGCGGTGGTTTGATGCTTTGCCGTCGTACACAGGAGACCTGAGTTTGATTCCTGTGTGGTAAGTGTTTTATCAAGTATCTCGCTCTTTTTTACTAGAATATTGTATCCCTCTCAACCCGGAATGGCTTGTTCTTAGCCTTTGATAAAGCAAATAATGGCCTAATAATTTTGAGAAATATGTGCAAAGTGAATACACTAGTTAGTATTTTACTAATAGGCTACATGTTGGTAGGCTTTAGCCAGTATCAAAGTTAAGGATGACTACACGTTTAACATAAACAAGTACGCAGCTCTCACCGTGATGTTATGAATTATGCAAGCAAACACGCATAGGAAAGTCAATATTGTACGTTTAAGATTAATTATTTTCTTTCAAATGCCTTCATTATCTCGTCCTATTTCATGAGTTACTCACGATGGTCCAAATATTTTGTAGATCCCTCTTTGGAAAATTGCTATATTAAGTATTCATGAAGAGCTCACAGCACAATTTGGCTTGGCTGCCGCAAAGAGCTGTGAAAACCATCTAAAAGGTTGAGTTCTCCTCATACTTATAGTAAGTCAATTTGAAGTAGCATGTGGCCACTCAAACATTATTACATTGTTAGTTGCTCGAGTTTACTGCTCGACTTTCAAACTGAGTACCACCAGAGTGGTCAAATAATATGTGTCACGACGCAGTTGAAACAGGCGCTCCTCCTATTTTTGGTTATTTGAATTTTTTAGTATCATTTTTAAGTGTGTTCGTTTGTCCTGCAGGTGGAAAAAAAAAAACAACAACAACAACAACACCAATACCTCTTGAAGAGAAGTCGAGACATTTGCCATTAAAGGTGCTGGGGTGGCCTGGTATAAGAGGTAAAATTAAAGCAAAAAAATAACCACCAAAGTTTAGTGCCTTCCAAAGCTTGAGTGTGCCCGGAAACTGAAATTTTACATTTTTGGTGCCTTAAATTGACTTTTTTTCCCGTTACATCCTCACAGAAAAATGCCTTTTTGAATGGACATATGTGGTGCTCAGCTGAAAAAAAAAATTCGGAAAAAAAATTGTCCAACGCCTAGAAAAATGCCAGGGGGCTCTCGTTGTCTAGAGTTTAAGGTGTTGGCCTCTCATTCTAAAGGCCCCGGGTTCGAATCCGGGTAGCGACCGAAACATTTTCTTCTCTAAATTTGTCTCCTTTCACCTCATTTCCTGCTCTCTAGCAATGTTCTGTCGTCTGCTTTCGTCTCCGCCTTCTGGCCCCACCCCTCACCTCCTTTGCCTCTTCCTCTGGGCTCCTGATTCTTTCTGCAACCTTTCTACTGCTACTCCTTCGCTTCTTCTTACTGCTGTCTTTCAGCCACACCCCTGATCTTCTGGTAGGAAAGATCTGCACCTAGCCTTCTCGGACAAGGGCGAACAATTTCGGAGGACCTGTGTGCAAGTTGCGCACGTTAAAGATCCCTTGGTGGTCTAAAATCGATAGGAGTTGGCTTCGGCCGCCACCAGGGCAAAATTCAAAATTTCCTACCAACTGAAAACATTAGGTGTGTCCCGCGCGCTCATATGACCTTATGCAGTTCCGAGCGCCGAAAAACACTTAACAAAAACAAAAAACAAAAAAACAAAAAATGCCGGGTTTTTTTCAAAAGTCATAGTTTTGACGAGCGCCTGATTTCACCACGCTGTCTCACATATTATATTGCTAGGTCGGGTTCGAGTTAACTGCTCGACCTTTATAATGAGCTATAACAGGAAGAATCTATAATATACTGACACGTTTTTCCACAAACATGTGCCAGATAACGAAGCGAACAGTGATAATAAACGTCTGTTTATAGAAAAAACACAATGTATTAAAAGTTAATATTATATTTCGTATACCTTTTTAAAGATAATTCAAAAATTTAGAATAAAGTATACTTTTCCCAAAATAAAGTTTTTTTAATGGCACATGTTTCGGCCGGAACCTAAGATGTAACACTTCATGTTATACTCTGTCTTATTGATTTCAGTAAAATAGTGATAAAAAGTGGATATTTCTTCTCTATTCTTCTGGAGATAGTAAAAATGTTCCATGGTGGGATGATTAATCGTCAGTTGTCTCGACTATTGAACCCATCATTTGTTCTTGAAGCCAATTATTTATTTATCTATCTTAAAATTTTAAGTATGATGCTTGGAGTACTATGACATCCACAAGGATCTGGGACCCCTGGCTAAATAAGTAAATGTGACTTTTCTATATGTACTAACTTTCAAGGACAGAGAAAGTTCTTTATCCATCTGTTTAAAACAATTTTTTCCCTGTCATTTATTTTTTAAATATGTTTGTGTGGGTAGAAGCAAATTGGTTCGAAGCCATCTGGCTTGATACACTGTTCAATAAACAGAAACAGAGACACAAAATCCCGAAGTATTTTACAGCCAAGTCATTAAAATCATTTATTGATTTGAAATAAATCTAGGATAGGTGCCAAATTGCAGTAACTATTTCATAGAGGTACTTTCCAGATAAAATCTGGAGGTCAAAAGTTTTAATTTTTTGAATGTGTTGATTAGGCCACACCAATAGGTTATGTATTATACATGTTCTTGCTTGTTTTGAGTAATAAATAAAATATATATATAAACAAACATTGAAGACCTATGTTCTTTTTTCGTGATTGAACGCTATAGAATATCAAATAGCATACTTTTTTGTTCTTTATAATGTTGTTTTAAAATTTTAATAAAAATGATGTACGCCCTCATCGACGAAATTTAGATCATATAGCAGACTGGATTCTGACCTTAACCATTGCACAGGGACGTCCCTTATATTACTATTTGTATCGTATACTGGTGACTCAGCCCTAGAACGGACAGGTATTGTCTGGAACAAAAAGGAAGCCCCAATTGCAGTTTCTATTATGACTAGACATAAGAGCTTCGAAAATCTTGCTCTTACGAGAAAAAAAATGAGGACAAACGAGGCAGCAGCCCAGAATCGTGTTTGGTAAATTTGAACCGGTATAAATTTACACGTCAGTAATAAAAGATAGATTAGCGCCAGCCAATCGCGAAAAAACAACCCTGAATACAGAAAGCTGGCGTCATATTTTTTATCATTTCATCATAAAAATGTGCTTGTCTATAAAAATCCAGAGTTGTTTCTGAACTTTCCGACAGCTTTTAGGTAGATTTGCTAGACCATGCAGACTATTCGCTAGATAAAGCCGTTTGTGACTTTTTTCTTGTTCCTGAAAAGAAATAAATGCTCAGTAGTAGGAGATTTAAGCTCGTAGATGAGCTTTACGAGAAGGCCGTGGAAAAGTAGGTCATACTTAGAACACAGGAGCGCTGCTCCATTTTCTTAACCCTGGGTGCATTGAATAGAACAGCAAGTAAACCACAAAGGATCATATTATTACTAATATGCTGAATAATTAAGGAAATAAATTTTATTTTGAAATTCTAAAACAATATTAATATCTATACTGTTGAGGTGTTTACCGCAGGGAAACGTATTTATTGTGTGACTCACTTTGCGCCTTGGTCGTTCTGTAGGGACGTTGCGTCCGCTCTCAGGCTTGGTTGACCCTGTCCCCTGTCTGGCAGAATAGTAGTGAAGTCCGCCTTCTTGTTCCCCTGCAGTGCGTTAACAGGGGCGTAAAATTTTAGAAAACAATAATGTACCATTACTTTCAATATCAAACACTGTATTCTTTAGGTTGTGTAATACTGACCAAAGATGTACTATCCTACAGAGTCACAAACATTTCCTTCTCTGGGGGCTTAACCGTGGTTCTTTACTTTATTGATATTTCAAAGACACGCATACCATCATGTTTCTCATAAGTAAGCTTTGAAGTTCGATATCTGAAGAAACTCGTGATGAGAAAGAAAAGGGGTCAAGTATGAGACTGTCATTCTATACGGCCAGACATTATTTTGACTTGATGAAATTATCGCTTTCCTTTTTTGGAAATGTACGACATGATTCTCTTCAACACTTCCCCCAATGTCATTAGTTTTCTTGATCATTCTTAGGAGGACTTTGTTCCTTCTAGAATGTTTCGAGTTTGATGTTTGGAGTTGACCGTCTCAATGGATGTTTTGGTGCTCGTTTTCTTTAACACGATGAAAAAAAGCATCGCAGCATCACGCCCCTAATTGTGACAACAGTTTCAGTTCCTCCAACCCAACCCGCACCCCCTTCATGCCATCCCTACCCATTTTTCGTTGTTGCTGTTTTGGTGCGTGGGGTGGGGGGGAGTCGGGAGGGGAAAGGGTCCCTGACAGCAGATTACTCAGTACCATCATGTTGTCAGAGCTTCCTGAACGCCCCCAAAAATGCTGCGAGAGGTCTAAAATAGCAGTACCACTGAAGCCAGATCTCTCTCGATCTCAGTATGGTTGCTAATAGGACCATGGCACGAATCAGCGAATGTCAAGGACGAAGGGTGGGCCTAACAGTTCTTTGACGTCGGCATTTCCTTTTTTTAAAAACCGTCAGTCGCCAAACAAGCTTCGATTTTCCCTGACACAACAAGATAGTGCACAGAAACTTTTGTCTTGGAAAAAAATCGTATTTCTTGTTTATCCAATTAAAGTAGTGACAACACAAACTTTTCGCTTCCAGTTAGCCAGAATAATTATCAAAGGTCACGGATGGGAGTTGGTTTAACCATTTTGGGGTATGTTGATCTGGTATCTAAATGTTAAACAGAGTTGTTCTTCCAAAGCAAAAGTGGATTTCACTGAGGCGGCAGATACTTTCTCGTGTTTCATCTGAAAGTGAACATCGTGTTCGTCTTTATAGGTGTTTTTTTTCTTTTTCTTTTATATCGCGTATTCTTTTCTTGAGTTCTTTCTTTTTTCTTCCGATATTGATTCCAATGATGTTTCTTGATATTTAATATAAATCTCGTTGTTACATATAGTCTAGAGGGATATAATAAAGCTATATTATCATTGTAGAAATGCAGCTTCTAATCCACGTGTAAGGAAGCTCAGTAGCTCAGCAACCATAATGTATATTCATCAATCTGGAAGTCCATAGTTTGACCACAGAATGTCGATTTATTCCATGCTTTCTGCATCTCCCTGATCAAAGAGTTAATAGGATCAAGCAACTTTCTTCATTGGATGAGAACGAAGCATTTCTGGATGGACGTTTTTCAATGTAAAAATAGCTTGGTGGCTCTAAAATCGTAAAGTCATAGTAGCGTATCGTCCGTCATCCGGGCAACATTCAAGATCAAATCCTTTCCTAAACACTGAAAGAATTAAATAAATAAATAGATTACATTCTTATTGATCCCAGAAGGGCAATTGATTTACAACAGCAAATATACATAAATAAATAATTTTGAATACATGCATTCATAAATAAATACACATTATACGTGCTAAAAAACACAATTACAAAAATATAGAATAAAACGTATTACAAAACCCTGCCATTGCTGGTCGTCACTCTAGTCAGTATGGTAGTAACAATAGTATATCTGGAAACGATACATGGCTGCTTGTGAGGTAAGGGAAGAGTCTGTATGTTCTAGGCATATGAAAAAACAATGTTCGTAATAACTGACAGCACTGTGAGATGAAAATCAGTCTTAGTTACCCCCTAAGCTTTTGCATGCGTACTCAGTAGATGAGAGAAAAAGTTACACAGGTAGATCCCAGTATTACTTCACTTACTACAAATAAATAGTGTGTCTTTCTAAGTTAGTGTAGTGTTTTGAGCGATAGATATTTCTCAAAGTAAGAAAATGTTACCAAGGCTTAATAATTTGATATAATTTTAATATATATTTTATTGAATATCACCCAGAATCCAGTACTTTGTCTATGCTCCAAAACCATTTCTTTTGAAAACGGATCAGAAAAGTATCTAGCAATGCACTTTGATCCTCTTCAAATAACATTACTGAAAACAACATGAATGTCATTCGTGTCAACATGTAAAGTTTGCAGGCAACCTGAAGAAACAGTGCTGATTTTAATTAACACTTTCTGACCTCTTGCGGGTCAAAATAAGAAGCTTTAGAACATGTCTTGTGCTCTGCGTGATCAGTGAAGGACAGACAAGACGACAATCACTATTTTTTTCGTGCCGAGAACGGATGAAGAATATTACTTTATAATAATATTACGAAACAAACTTTTCGTGAGGTGGCTCTTTGAACTTCCTGTTCCACCCCAGACATAAGGATTTTTCAATCTAGCTTCTTTGAAAGGCTCGAGTGCTTTTGAAAAGACTTCCCTATATGATAGTCTGTTTTGTGAATGACTTCTGTATCAGAATTAAAAATAGAGGCTTTGATTGGAAGGGTTTTTCCCACAATTCCATGATGTCATGAATTGGACTTCCACGCACGTTCATGCATTAGTAATTAGTTTCAATGTGCACACAAGCACTAAAATTGACAGTTGTCTCAGAAAAGATAATGGAACCAAAAAAAAGATAAATGTTTCTTTACTTCTTTCTTTCTACCTCTCCCCCACCCTCCCAGTTTTCCTCCCTCAAAGTCCCCACACACACCCCCACCCCCCC